CGGCAGAACAAGCGCGTTTGGCAAGAGCGTTATGTTTTGTTGCTACAAAATTGGTGTCAAAATGACCCAAAACAGTCACTCTAAAAATTCCTAAAGGCTTGACTCCAGAAAAAAAATGTACTGCGGTGATTTCGGGAAAATGTTGAGGGGGCGCATTTCGACCCTTTGCTCTTATAGGGTTAAAAACATGAAACACCAACAATTGAGTCGTTTAAACTCAATCCAAGGAATTAAAATTAATTTGTGGTTTACCTGAACAAAATGTGTTGACCAATATAATGGAGGCTTAAACTGAATCAGAATTTTGTTTTAACAAAATCGAGTTAACAACCAATCTGATGGTAGTGCACTTTGCAAACTGCTTTGGTTTTAAAATTTAAACCCAGGCTAATTTTCAGTACAGTGAGGTCACTTTCTGGTGACAACTCGTATGTCACCAATAAGTTTTTTTCCCGACATTTTCTGCCTCACACAGATTACGTGGTGTCGGCTTACAGACCTGATTTTGATTATAATGATGCTATGGTATAAATTATTGCCTTCACATTTCAGAAAGGGAACAACCTTTATGCAGAAGAATGCGTCTTGAAATACGGAAAAGTTGTTGGGTGAGATCCACTTTCCCAGTTGTGTTAAGTTAAATACTTCGATCACCGATAAAGTCAAGTCTATCCCAAGTCCCTGCGCTAAATCATTGTAAGTCCATCGAACGATTTCAACTTAAAGCTGTCAAAAGATGTTCAAGTGAAATGACATTAAAGCATTCCTTTTTTATTGTTTATGTAGTTACTTTACGAGTGGTCATGATGACTTGTAAAAGGACTTATGGAAATCCGCACCCAAATCCGTTTTAACCTATTACAGTTCATGCTACGGTCCATTTTCTTGCACCCCCCCCCCATGAGAGTGTGCATCCCTCTAGGTATCACCTCAGAAATTTCATCCTCGTTAATGTTGCGCGCCCGATATTACTTCAAAAGAGCTGGATGTTGATGCTACATTGCAGGTTCTATTGGAAAGTGTTTGCAGCAAAACTAGCGGGGAAATGAAAGAAGATGAAAAACATTTTACCTGATACGATGTGTGATATGATGAAGAAGTAAAGTATGTGGGGTGTATGCGGTGGGTAACGATGTTTTTTGGTGTTGGGAGGATTTTATTACAGGAACGGTAATGTAAACCTTTGCCATGTCGATTTAATCTTCAGGAGAAGACGATTGGTCGAAATGTTTACTGGATGTAAGCCCTTTATTTTTGCAGAATATACAAATTTCGTTACCCGATTCTCTTTGTGACGGACATGGATATCGTGAAAAAAGTCTTGGTGACCGACTTTAGCAAGTTCCCACATCACTGGGTGAGGATACAGTAGATGTGATTGATATTAAAAGAGATGTGATTAATAGTATCTGATCATATTTTACAATATGCGAATGCTTTTCATTTCGCAACATGAATCCGCAGCTGGAAGCACTTCTGAGTCACAATGGAACTTAAAAATAAAAGAGGAGTGGGCCACAATCATTTTCAGCAAAATTACGTGAAAAATCCCATTTTCGTCAGATTTGGAAAATCTGTAATAAAGTAAGCCCAGTCAATGACACTTCGTGTTCGTGTCTGAAGTTAGCATGAGCGTAAACTTTAATCTTGAGGGAATGGGGTTTTTAGTCTGCCTGCATTTGACCAGGGGGATGGGCTATTGAATCATCCCCCACCTCTTCGTGGTGAGAAAAATAATTATGGCCGACACAATCAGTAAAAAAACAACAACAACATAACATAATTACGCCGTTTTGATATAAGGTTTTGCAGAAATGTAATGAACATCGCCCCTGGTGTCATATGGTGTCAGCACTCCCCCCCCCCAATTTTCGAATGTCCGTGGCCGGCCAAGTCATCCCCCACCATCCCCATTCCTCAGTTCGTGGCACAAATTCACGCCACTGGAAATCATAATCTGAACAGTTGTTCCTAACTCCTAGAGTTTAATTAAGCCGTGTAATTGATGTACCGCGAGTGGCGGTTCTTCGGGGTATTGTACTCTCATTCTTCGTACGGTAACGTCTTTATAATTTGGTTGGATAACAATAGGACATTCCAGCTGTTGGTTTTCCGTTGGACAATACGTTATTGTATATGAAAGGACAACGATGGAGAGAAGTTCGCGCCATCGTCACGCCTTCTTTTACCACAAGTAAACTGAAGCAGGTACATTTCTTCATTTAACGCAAGATATGGGACGGAGGGAACCCCCCCCGCCTTTGTTGGTCATTGTTTAATCGGAATCTCAGGAATTCTTTACAGACTTCCAGGGGGGTGTTAGGTAACAATAGTGTATAGTGTGTATGGGGATTGGACAGGTAAGGGGTGGTACCACTCCGTCCCATATCTTACCTGGTATACGTTTCTTATGAGAAGAAAGATGAAATATGGAACCCGGGAACAAGGGCTGGAGAGTTATAAAAGAAAAGCTCTAACTGATAAATATGGCTCTATCATATTCCAATATCAACCCCCCTTTACGTTTTCCTCAATCCCTTCTGAGTCAATAAAGGGATGTCTTTCGCACTAACTGGTTTGTATTCATTGCGTTCTGGCGAAATGCCAATTTTTCGGCGCTGGGTTCAGAAAATTTTGAAATCTTTCACCGACATTACGAGGGAAAATAGTATATGTAATGGTGCATCTGGTGCATTTTTTAAATTTCATTTTTTCCAATCATTTCAATCAGAATCCGTTTAAAAATTTAGAGACTACTAAATCAAATCAAGACCCACCATGTCACGACTCGAACGTCAACTCAAACCCAAAAACCGTGCTAAACCAAAAAATCTGCGTCAAACCAAAAACACGTGTAAAACCAAAACCTGTGCCAAAACCAAAACAAAAACAGAATAAAAAACCTGAATCAAAACCGAATCCAAACTTCGTTTACATCTAAGAAAAGTGAAGATATTGTTTTATCCTTAAATTAATAAGTTTGATATCGTTATATCAAAGTTAACATGCCAATATTATTAGCGTCAAATTATTGATCTTGGACAAAAGAACGATTGCGAGATTATATCCAATACATCAACACCGTTCCCTCTGTCGATTTACATCACCGTTAGAATTCGCACCAAAAAAGAATATCTAAGTGCCATAAGACGTTTTGTATCGCGTTAAAAAACTCCTTACAGTTGGATTATTTAACTAATTTGGCGAGTTTATATCGTTTCGAAGTCACACCCACGGGTCACCGTCGTCAAGCAACCAAAGAAGATTATTCCCGAGCGATCCGAGAAACCACATATTATGAAAACTTTACTCGTGCAAACATCCGCGCAATACATTTTTATGACCACTTTCGCGTGTGAATTTATAACACCGTAAAACGAATTTGGTGATAACATCGTAATTTTAAACTCAGTACCGCTCTAAAAGTGCGTTTTAAAAGGCTTTTTAGAAGGAGCCGAAGGGGAAAAGTCGAATCGTTAACGGAGCACAATTTTGACGGGGAACAGACGCCATCTTGCGAGTCGGGCAAAGAGCCCAGAGTTGAGCTGTCGTCGTAATGGACTTGGGTTACCCTCTGCTACATTCAACAGAATTAGTCGCTTGGATTTACGCTTCCACCCATACCAAATGGTTAAACGACACCAGCTTCTTCCACGTGATCATCAGTGACGGTTATAGTTTTGCCAGTGGCTCCTTGGCCAACATGCACGCTTCTATGAAGATTTGATTATTGGAGATGAGTCCGGATTTGCCTTAAATGCTTCTGTGAGTACCCACAACAACACAGAATATCGTCCCCGTGGCCAGCGACCACTTGATTTTGACTATCAACGCAGTGATGACAGACATAAGCTGACAGTTTGGTTAGGTTTGATTGGGAACGGGAGCATTATTGGTCCATTCTTCTTTTGCAACAACATGAACGGTGACATGTACTTACAAAGTGATCAATGCCAACATCGTTCCAGTCATTGATCAAATGCCTCGTTATCGTCGCCATCATGGAGCACCATTGTCTTGAAATTGTGGTGCAAAAATGCAGTTGCTTCACTTTTGAACCGATATCATTCTGGCCATTCTGGCTGTCACAATGGTGCAGCTAACGGCAGAACATAGAATCTTTTGTGGTCGAGAAATGGCATGAAACCAGAAGTTTGCAGGCTACACAGGATACCTTTCGAGAAGCATTCCCAGACTGAGAACCACCAGCAAAGAAAACAATCTAGGCCAATGTGAGAAAGTATGAAGCACACGGAACCAGCCTCAACCGCAACAAAGGACGTTCAGGAAGGCCAAGGACGGCGACATCTCAGGAAAACATCGCTGCCGTACGACAGCAACTGATTGACCACCCAAAGGACTGAGCCACGCCACTTTTAATCAGATCACTCATCACGACCTTAATTCACTTCCATCCGTTCTGCGTCCACATCCGTCATGAACTTCTGCCTGCTGATCTTATAGAAGACAGACTTCTTGTGAGTGGCTTTGTGAGTGGTGTGAGAGAAGTCCCAGATTTCTTCGCAACTTCTTGATCGGAGATGAGGCTGCGTTTGAAATGAATGGTGAGGTCAACACCCACAATGTTGTTCAGTACGCCCCAGCTGGGCAACCACTAGTGTTCAACTTCGAGACAAAGATGAGCGGAGCGAAAGTGACTGTCTGGGTTGGACTGTGTGGCAATGGCGTGATCATTGGTTCATTTTTCTTTGAGCGAAATGTCAGTGGTCAGGCCTATCTTCAAATGATCAACGAAGAGGTTGTGCCACAGATGAAGATCCACTTCCAGCGAGGGCAAAATGGAATGTTCCGTTATGCGTGGTGGGCTCAAGATGGTGCACCAGCCCATCGTCTCATCGCTGTTCGAAATCGCCTCCACGAACTCTTTCACGAACGCATGATTGCCCGAACCACCCCACTGAATGGCCCCAAGTTCACGAGACCTCAACCCCTGCGACTTCTTTTTGTGGGGTCATGAGAAGAAAAGAGTTTCCAGCACCCCTCCCCACAACATAAAGGATTTGCGTGAAAGGATTCAGGAGGTGGACATGTGAAGGGTCTTGCTCATGAGAGAAAATCATACAAACTTCGGCTGTTAGGTGTTTTACACATAATCGTGAATAAAATCCATGGAGCAAACCATGCTTAACAGGAATAAAATCCTGGAATTAAAAAAAGAACACGCATCTGTGTCGATTTTGCTCAGGAGGAAGGTGAAGCAACTGCATTTTTGCACCACAATTTCAAGACAACGGTGCTCCATGATGCGTGACCCTGGAATGCTACCCAAGGTTTCACTGAAAGGCGTAAAGCTTCGGCTTTAAGATGAAACAATGTTTTTTTTGCTGGTAAACAAATAGTCTGGCTACAATAACCCCTTTAAGTGGGATTACCTTTTTTTTAGACACATTGTATAACGATTTTTAATTTACTCCATCTCTAAAGTATCCGATGCAGGCGCGTTCGATGTTTTGATTAGCGTTGGGTTTTGGACAGGCTTCTTTTTTTTTAAAAAAGTCGTTCTCGGTTTTGGTTTCCATCGATTCGGGCTCGCTGACGTTGTTGCTCATTAGCTTGTTATATTCTGCCAAACGCCTCCCTTCTTCGAGGCGTTTACTGTTTTTGATTTTCGTAACTTTCTCCACGTGAGTTTTCACTGGACTCAAGGGTGGGGCTGGAGGAGTCGTGGGTTGTTCCTCGGTTGTCTCTGTTTCCATCGGCCAGGTGTCCATTGATCGCAAGGGATCGTAGAACGGTTCAATGGAACGTTGGCCGGACGACTGCTTTGACATCAGTACGCGCAGGAAATGTTGTGCGTCGGTTATGCGAAACGTGGAATTGGTGGAGCGTCTGCCCCAAGTGGTAAAAGCTCTAAACGAAGAAAAGACCCGCTTGATAGATGCAAGTCCTGTAGATGCCCTGAAACAAGATCAAATGAAACAGTTACCTTTGGCAACCAAACCCAGCAAGCAAAGTGAGCGGACAGAGTTGCCTTCAGACGCAACTGACCCCATTTGGAGCGTGGACGTGTATCAAATCGAGAAACGCACGAGTCAGTTCAAACGAATCAACGGTAAAAGGTGACAACGCAGCCAACGCTGTACTATTTGCTCGACGGACCCAAGCGTTTTTTGTGAGAGAAGAGCTTCAAGTGGTACCCAAAAATACCGATTTACCGCCGGCTCGGTAATTGCCATAATTGGTAGAATAAAACTGAAACCCAAATCAATTTGATTTGGGGGTTAAAATCACTTCATGTTTTATATTTGTTTTTACGCTGCGCATTCGTCTTTAGGCTTTTTATGGCAACAGGTAACGATGCCCTTGTCACAAAAGAAACAGTTTTCCGATATCTGTTATGTTCACACGTTGCCCTTTTTTTTTGCTTGGCTAGACAGTCGAGACACATCTTCAATTTATAACGTAATGATTTATTTACGAATCGAAACTCATGGGGATGTTTAATCTTTGTCTACATTGTCCTTATTCATCAATATTGTCTTTATTGACTCTTTTTATGAACAACCAAGTCTTTTATAACCGTTCCCATCGTGTTTATTATGTTCTTTTTATTTAACTTATTTATTTAAGGATAAAACAATATTTTCACTTTTCTTAGATCTTAGATGTTAACGAAGTTTTGATCCCAGAATAGCATCCCATCAACAGTCCCCTCATTTGCCTAGAGAAGCTGGGTAAATTTATATAAGTTTTTTAAAAAGTGCAGTTAAGTACAATAAACCACAAAAGCATGTAAAGTAGTTCTCATACATTTACGAGGAGTAGAAATTCGAAAAAAAAATTGTTACGAAAAAGTCACTGTATAGGCCTTTTAAGTTACATGCTAATTTGTGGAAATAAGATGTCTTTTTTTTCTAATTTAGATGGTGGAAATATTTAATGACTGCTGTGGCCCTCTCCTGGTTAACATGGAAAAGGCTTATGTCAGAAACCAAGCCCTTGACACGAAGAAGTAAGTAGGTTTAAAAGTCCAAGAACAAAGAATACGGAATGGAAATCTTGGAACCTTTCAAAGTATTCTGTAGACTTTTGGAGCATGGAGGATTAATAACCTAATAATGTTGCCACTATTGACTTAATATTTCATTCTGCATCTCAACCTGTTGCTGCAGTCATTTCCAGCTGAACAATGTTGGCGTTTTTGGATGACAAGGTCACTTGGTTCCTGGCAATGTTCTCATTGGCAGCAGCTTCCAAGATAAATCGAATGGATCAGATAAAGTCTGAGTATCAAAAGAAACCACCAAGGATCAAAATCAATTTCCTTCTCATTGAAAGCACAATGAAATTTGGCAATTACAGCATAAAGAGCAACATTTTCTTCAAGGTATTAAGGAATGAGAGTTTGATGGAGTGGTTTCAGCTAATTCCATGGGCTTTATTGATCTGTAAATGAAATTGCCTTAATTTATATCCTCACAGGGTGTATCTAGGATTCTTCGTGCAGACCATCATTGCCATCATATATGGTCTGGATATCCAGTGTCAGGCCGATCTTGATCATCCATTTGTGACCAAGGTGGAGAAAGCATTCCAGCCCAGGCTTTTCACGCTTATTCCAAGTGAGAATTTGCATGGATATGGAAGAAAACCACTACACAAAGTTTCGGTGTAGCTGGGGCGGTGCTGAAAGGAATGGAATAAGAATACACTTGCTTATTTTCAACTATCTGGGAGGCGTGGAAAGTGATCTTTTCAAGTAAAACATTCACTGCCTCCGGCTGAAACCAGGGACAATATGAATCAGACTGGCATTTATTTATTTGGAACCGATTGAGATTTCTTTTGTTCGAGTTCCATTTGAATTGTGTCTCTTCATTAAGTACACGTATGACAATCTAACTTCAACCTGATTTTCGCTCTGAATTTTACAGTCCTTACATATTTTTAATCTTGTGGTGAGAACACTGTATTGAAGCTGTTGAAGTCAATATTGACTGCATCTATCTCTGATCAAAAGGCTTCTTCCTGCATGAGTTCTGGCCCAAATGTAAAAAAAATGTTATGTAAAGACACTCTTCAGACCTTGCTATCACTTCCAAATTCTAGTACACCATACTTGTGGCTCAACCCCGACCAGGCTGTCTTCTCCCTATTAATCCCCCTCCCAACCTGTTAATTACAGTTATGTTCCCGTCACTGGCCCCACTCTTCGAACTGATGGGATCTAACATCTTCCCAAAAGACGCCATTGACTTCTTCAAGAAAACCATAGAGGATTCCTTCTCAGGAGACAACCAAATACGACAACGTCAGGGCAAAGGTCCAAATAGGGTGGGTATTGCACAGACGAGCACGAGGACACAAACAACCAAACCGAAATGTTCATGTGTTGTATATTTTTGGTTTGATAATCCTGTTTTATCAAGGGGAAAAAATCATGCAGATGATCCATGGAATGTCCACTCACAAACACGATGTTCCAACTCACACACACGACGTTTGCAATTCACAAACACGACGTTGAAACTCATAAACACGACGTTGGAACTCACACACACAATGTTTGCTTGTGCACATGAAGCCCAATTGGTTTCACTTTCCCTTTGCAATGTGGGTTTCCCAAGGAGGCAAATGTCTTCCAGTAAGTTGCCGAAGCAACATAATAACTCACCAAGCAAGAAAATAACTCATCGAAGCAAGATAATAATTTGCCGAAGCAAGACAAAATTTCGGTTAAAAGTATAATGTTCATTGTCAAAACATACTGGTGACCACAAGGGTACTTGCCACGGTCACCTAGTTACAGCTCTGTACACCCAAATATTGTACCCGTGAAACAGGATTAGAAATACGGGGTGTATCAAAAAAAAATTACAGTCAGAAAATTGACTGCAAAATAAAAATGTGAACTTTTTGCGACAATCTCTTCTCCTACATGGGTTGATTTGAGTATCATGCTGTTATTAAACTTGTGATCATGAACAGATTTTCATGCCTGAGTGACCAGGAGCTATTTTCCTAAATCGCTCAAAAATTGGCTTGCGCAAACACTTGCTTTGTTCAGAATTGGAACAAAAGTCCAGAAAAGCAAGTATGGAATGTGTGCTTCAATAAAATCATTTATTTCACCCATTTAGTCCTCCACGTGACCACCATTTCATTCCACACAGATTCGTGCCCTTCTCTGCATGTTAGCGACAGCATGCCTGATCATTGCTCTGTTTTGCCTGAGAGCATTGATCTCGGCAGTGATCCTTCCTTCAAGGTCATCCAGCTCCGCTGGTGGAGAAACAAAAACCTTGGACTTCAAATGTCCCCACAGGAAAAAGTCCAATGGCGTTAGGTCGGGCGATCTTTGTGGCCATTCCACAGGCCGATGCAATGCAATCACACAGTTATCAAACAGTTTTGTCAGGCGCTCTGTAACCGTTCTCCTCCTGTGTGGTGGAGTACCATCCAGTGACCACCAAGCCCTTTGAAACAATCCATTTCTTTGGCGATGATAACGAGGCATTTGATCAATGCCAATTTGATCAATGCACTTTACCAATAACTGAATACTTCAAGAATTTTGCTGTATGATTATACAAGTACTTTACAATGACTACAAGTATTTTTTGAAATACCTTTACTCTGTGCTTTTGGATGACCTCACCATCCACAGTCAACCTGTTATATCAAATCCAGCAAGACTTCTAACTGTATAAACATGTTATCCGCATATTCCACTACCACTGTGACAAAAAACTGCAATTACACTGGCATTTAATACTTGACCTTGTTTTCCAAACCTTACAGTATGAAACCATGTCAGAAATGTACTTAAAGAACACAGAGCTTCCTGGTCACGTTTCAACTGCAGAGGAGTCAGAGCAGAATGCCGGTAAACCCAAGAAGCTCTCTTACAAAGAGTTTCTTAGCGCGGTAAGTTTTTTCCTATTGTATCCCATAATAATATCTGTGTCCCTGTAACCTCGGGGGCTGATGCAGAGCTGAGGCAGGGTTGAAAACTGGCAACAATTCACGCTTGAAAACTTTTCAAGCCTGTGCCTGCATCAACCCCCGGCATGACTTCAACTGGGTTTAACTCAACCCTACTCTGGACTAGGGTTGAGATTTTTCAACCAGGGTTGAAAATTGTTTGTGCTGCGGCCTGGATAAACTCGGATTGCAGGAACTAAGTGTGAAACAATGCGGGTTGAAAACCCAAATTTCAACCTGGGGGAGGGGGGGGCGGTGTCATGGGTTTGCCCAGGGTTTAGTCCAACCCAGGTTTAGAGGCTTGCCCTCAGATTCCTCAAAACTATGCGAGAAGTCTCTGTTTTGAAGCAAGGTAGACTGGCTTGCAAAACGAACAGATATAGGCTAGAGTGATACAGAGAACAAAGTTATGGGCACTTCCCTCTCTCCTATACAGAACGTGACTCTACTGACAGGTGGCAATGAAGCCACCTCAACGTTCCTGATATGCACCACCTATCAGCTGGCCCTCAGTCCTGAAGTGCAGGACAAGATGATTGAAGAAATCGACAGGATTGCACCAACTCCTGAAGACATCAACTACGAAACAATGAGCAAAATGACCTACTTGGAAATGGTCATACAGGAGTCTTTCCGCATGTACCCGCCAACCATACTGTGAGTTATGTAATAGGGTCTGTTCTTTTGACATCGTTTTTTTTCTAAATGTGGCTGCTAAAATGATGGTTGGCCATCAGTCACAAGTAAAAGAATAATTCAAAACTTTAAAAATCCCAAACACAGCCAACAGAATACCAGATAGTAAAACACGTCCTACTAAATACCAAGAGAAAATACAATCCAATTTAAAATCAGTGCCACAGATACCCATTTAGCATGATTGGAAGGTAAACTAAAAAAAACAACCAAAGTTGATATTTCTGCAAACTTTGGCCACCCATACAAGTTGTAGGCAAAAACAGAGAGTGCACTCGAGTGGTCTATTGTTTCTGTCTCCTGAGTGCACATTTATAGAGGGTGTTCCTCATATTAAAGGAAGAATTTGAAAACAGCAACACTGTTTTGGCAAAGTCAGTTTTGACAAACTTTATAAATCTAACGTCAAGAGATTGCTGTGCATTACATGACTTGTCTTGGCCCGACAGAGCTGACCGTGTCTGCTTGGAAACTGTGAAGTACGGCAACTACACTCTGAAGAAGGACCTCCTCGTCAACATACCGTTTTGTCCTATTCAACGTGACCCCGAGATCTGGCAGGATCCAGATAAATTTGACCCTGAGCGGTAAATATGACCATGATTTCAATACCTAAGAAAGGAAATAGCAGAGAAAATAAGCTTACAAAACTGGACATTTCTGCCTTCACCCTAAACCCAGTGCTCTACTCTTAGGGGTGAGGTCGATTAGTGACAAATTGAGTCAACCAATGATCGATTATGACCGGTAACCTATGCATGGAATATATATACCACACACCAAGCAAAATAGACCAGTGCTTTACAAATTGTCACTGATAAAACCTGCCCAATGATGCTGGTAAGGACTTACTGTTTCACTAGTATTCTGTGAGAGAAATGCGAGGGTTTGGAAGTGTTGGGAGACAGTGCACATGAACATTGTGTGTGCACGGGATATGCCATCTTATATGGCAATCATAGAAACATTGACATGCGTCACGTCATTGTTCAATTACAACTTCTTGCATCCAATGAGACTACTGAGAAAGCATGTCAACAGTCCAAAATACAATATACGCGACCAGTAAAGATGTGGCAGTGGATGCCATCATGTTTCCAGGTACTTCAAACGCTTGCTGAATTATACCCAGTAAATTTCTTCCAGTGAGGTTTGATTTTTTTCTTCCCACCTTCAGGTTCAGCCCTGAGAACAAGGAATCCATCAATCCTCTTGGATGGATCGTCTTTGGTGCGGGTCCGCGCATCTGCATCGCTGTGAAATTCACAACGATTCTCGCCAAAGTCTTCCTGACCCGAGTGTTTCAGAAATACCGCTTTGAGACCTGCACTGAAACACCGGTGAGTTGGGGACCAGTGTCCCATGAAATCCAGGCACTCCTTTCAAATCCAATATCCTCTAATGGACTCCCACCTTTCTGCATCTTTAGCTGGTTGTCACAATGCTACTGACCTATGGCTCTCTGTGAGTTGTGTAGCCTATATTGAGTTTTATTTGTCACAAAGTTTCCACATCTTGCATTCATTTTGAAGTTCACGTAAGTAGACAGTATTTCAAAAGTTGCATCGATGCAATTCTACTGCAATTGGCATTATGCCATGTGCAGTACTGTCAGCAAATCTGGTTTTTCATGAAGTTCAAATTCCACACTACACCAAGAAAGCCACATTCTCAAGAAGACTTTTGGAGCATGGAGGATTAATAACCTAATAATGTTGCCACTATTGACTTAATATTTCATTCTGCATCTCAACCTGTTGCTGCAGTCATTTCCAGCTGAACAATGTTGGCGTTTTTGGATGACAAGGTCACTTGGTTCCTGGCAATGTTCTCATTGGCAGCAGCTTCCAAGATAAATCGAATGGATCAGATAAAGTCTGAGTATCAAAAGAAACCACCAAGGATCAAAATCAATTTCCTTCTCATTGAAAGCACAATGAAATTTGGCAATTACAGCATAAAGAGCAACATTTTCTTCAAGGTATTAAGGAATGAGAGTTTGATGGAGTGGTTTCAGCTAATTCCATGGGCTTTTCCATGGCATTCTCAAGAACTCCACAGCTCACCATAACTGTCCCTCAAAACTGTCCAAAAATGTTGTCACAAAATGCTGTACGTATAAAAGCGGCGTCATGTGACAATGATTTTCTGTATTTCCACACAGATCCCACTGAAGTTCAGGAAGATTACGATGCTTGAACCAGATCGAGTCTATGTGCGTGTGGTACCGAGGAAAGACTGCTAAAATCTCGCAAGTTTCAACAAAAATATTCTACAGGGAAAACAGAAAACAACTGAGCGTCTGATTTTATCAACAACTGTCCAAAAATCACTTTTCATTTTGTTTAGGTACAGCATCTGAAGTACCGTGGTATGGTAAAATCTGCTACTAGAATAGACACCACTACTGCAAATACAAAAGAAAGAAAGAATAAAAATGAAACATGACCATACTGTTCAGTTGATTCAACAGTATGGATTTAGTAGTATTTCCATACCAATTTGATTGTGATATTGGTGAACAAAAAATTGTAGCAAGTTCCATATAATTACATAAATATTAGAGTATATAAAAAGTATATTTTATAATAGCGATATCAGAATAAAGAGAATAACTGGCTGTAATATTTTAGCTGACAATAGGCCAATATACAGTCTTAAGTAATTTTATATTTGAAGTGTAACAGTCGAATGTCCATCCAAACCAAAGTGGTAAGTTTCGTGTGCTTATTTGTGTCCCTACAAAGCTGTGGTGACTTTCCTGGACACCCTGTTGGAAATTGCTTTTCTATACCCAGGAATACAATTTGATAATCGTGGAAAGAAGTTGAGGAAATCCTTCAACTTAATGATATATGTGGTCAAACGGCCAGTTTATACTTCAAGTGAACAAGCAAGTGAAGTGAATGGGACATGACAAAAAGACAGCAGTGATTTAACTTCAGTTGAAATGTGTTCAACCTTTGCGAATTTGCAGCATGAAGCTGTTTGCATTCATGTACCCTTTTGTTCCGAGTATGAATCAAACTTAGGTTTATGTATCCACTTTGCAAGCATTAAACAAAATTCCTTAACACATATTTCACCGGTAACAAATGTGACAGACTCTGCCAAAGCCAGACGTTTCTGGAAAGCTAGAGGTTGGTATGGAAGTAGGACGTACATGTAAGAAAATATTTTCCTGTCATATCAAGAACTTTAAATTAGTATGTAACTCTACAAAAGGCGGACTAAATTGCAATAAAAGGCTAAATGTTAACAATGTCAGATGTTTGTTTTGGTCAACTCCCCAGAAATATAAGGTTCAGGCAGAACACATCACAAATTGTGACAGGAGAAAGTGGACATTTTGGTGTAAGGGTAAACAGTGCATTCCAGTTGGTCATACTGCAGTTGGGATACTTAGTTTTACTCATTGTGTAAGTATCGTACCATGTCTGATTAAGTGCTAAAAATAGCTAATTAAGTTCGACAATTTCCAGTGTAAATGTAGGGGAATTGTTCATCAGCAGTGATAAACTAGAGAGACCAATGTGCATTTTTACAATGCAAGTTTTATTCATATAACTGTTACACAATATAAATTTTTATTTCATTTTTTAGTAGATAAAATTTCATTTTACCCTTTAATAAAAAACATAAGGCATTCAACTACCACAGCAATATAATAATTGTGAAACGGCTGGAATAGCGGTGCAGTAAAAACATGAAGGAATGAAACATTTCACACTACATACCTATCAGCAAATCAGCAAGATGTTAGTTTTTGATGGCATAGAAATTATCATCAAATAAGTTCCCATCTCTTCAGTCATTGAAGTGCAACCTCTACAATAACAAATTCTGCGTAATAAACCATATTTCAAATATTTCTGAATCCTTTCTTGTGCATTTATGTGCAAACAGTAGTACAGTGTTTCTTTAAGGAATTAATACACATTTTGTCCAAAAAGTACTATAACAAAGTCAAAACATTAACTTTTAAAAAGCAATACAAATTTGTCACCATGCAAGAATTTCAGGTAACTAATGTTTAAAAGATGGAAATATAATCAGTACTGTTCAATAGCATTTATTTCATTCATGGGATTTGAAGATAAATGAAATTGGTGATAAAAAAACAATTACATTCAAATATCTATAGAAACTGGCATTTGTCATTTCTTAAAGCCCAAAATAGTCCAGCATGACTTAAAGGTAGGAATACATCATACAAATTTTAACATAATTTTTTATCCCGTGTTTATAACAAATTTTGTGGAACATTGCTTCGATCCTGTCCCCCCCCATAAGAATTTCCTATATTGTATCACTAGTGCACTCTTTTCACAATCGCGTGGTGGTCAAGTGCATTACAAGTCCATCACAAGTGCTTCCCATCAGCCAGTCTTAAGTCAAGTCTGGAACTAGGAACAGTGACAAAGGCACACTACAGCCACTGTTTGTACCATTACTTATGACTTGATGTGCGACTGGACTTGACACCAACATGTGACTGAAGTCTTGATTGGCCCCACATCAAAGGATGGTTAACCGCCTTGCATTGTTTGCTCTTTCTCGTATCTGTTAATCATGATCACGAAAGGTGGCACGGAAAAATCCGTCTTCTTTGCAGAACACGGCACAGGCCATACAAGGGGGTCATGTCTTGCTCTGCTGCAGCAGCGATGTACATGCATCACACTGTACATTTTGACATTCAGCACACCAAACTAGGTGGCAATGTGTGAAGCTTACCCGAATTACAAAGAGCTTGCCCAGTGTCGACAATTATCGTTCACCTTGGGTGCCATTTGCCCCCTTGTGTGTAAAAAAACACCATGGATCCCTACACACAACTGTACAATGTTCTCTGTCTCACACTGAAAATGACAATAGTTATATCCTTTGGCTATATCACACTTTAAGGCAATGGTAAATGCGTTTTAAAATGAACTACATGTATTTACTGTCTGTAGCATGCTTTAAAGGAAAGTAAAAATATTGAGCTGCGTGCTATATGTACAGTGTATTTCTTCATAAAGCTAACAAAACTGCAGGAATTCTACATGTACTTTTCTAGAGGACGAGATAACAATATGCTTGGTCTCAAGTTGGTCATGGCAGTTTTTCTAACACTGCCACTCAAAATCCTCATCACACTGAGCATCACAAGATTTTAATGGCACAACCAGAAAAGAAGATGCATTTCATACACAGCGATGTGGACACCGGTGTTAATCTAAAAGAGTTCCATTGTGATGAAATATTTTTGGCTGGTGAAGGCAACTAAAGGAATTTTGGTCTATCTATGGCAAACATAATGCTTGAGAAAAGACTAGCAAGCAATTCCATCAACAGCTGGCTGCAATAACCCATACCCAACTAGTTTGGGGGGTGTCATATTTTCGTCATTTTTTACTACCGATTTTGGTAGAAAAAAAAAATTTGTGACAAAGAAGAAACTATCTTGTATTGATTAACAAATATGGTGAAAAACTTCAATCGTGACAATCTGGACCAAATCTGAATGGTTCAAAGAAATCTGCATACATTTTCCATGCATTATTCAGCAAGAGGCTTCGGCTCTTTAATCAGGCCAAGGGTGTGCACTAAAATCATCACCTTGATCCCTTGGATTAGAGGCTAATGTATCCAGTGTCGTATTCGAGTCCATCACAAATCCCTGTCAGTCCATCACAAGTCAGTCAGTCTTAAGCTAATTCACAAGCTATTCAAATGAGCTGTGACAAAAGCAGTCCTTTGTCATTGTTCTCCTGATACTTATGATTGGCCTTGTGAAGGGACTTGCGAAAGGACCTGTGATGGACTCCAATACAACACTGAATGTATCGCAACATATACAGCACTTACACCTGGGTAAATAACCCGAGCAAAATTCAGTTGATTTCTTTTTCAAACTGTTGTCCCAGATACTTATCCTGAGCACAAGGTAGGTAATTTACATGTGTGTCGTCAGGAACTTGCACATGCCAAGGCAGCTACTCGTGCATGGAACATCAAAAGTGCTTGATATCTGAATTCTCAAAGTACATGAGGGTATACGAACGAAAGAAAACTAACCAAAAACAACAAACTCCCAAATCTCCCCTAAATAAGGGAATTATTGCTTACTCTTTAAAGACTCGAAGTTGAAAAGAAAAAAAAAAGTTTAAGACCGTTCTCTTAAAGAATCAGTTCTATCTTTTTTTTTCCACCTTTGAGGTCAAATGGAATGAATACTCCGACTTGCCTCCCAAGGCAAACAAAAACCCTGGGGCCACATTTCACGCATCCGTTTATATAAAGAATACCATTAGCATCATCATGTGACCTTGAAGAAACACTTGATTGGTCCCTAATTGGTGGAGATCCTTCCAGCAAATAAATCAACTGACCTATCACTGTTTGACAGTGAGCCGTACCTCTCAGACAACCGTATCGAAGTTTGTACATTGAGCTTTGTTTTTCTCACATTTTGTGTGCCCTATATCCATTCTGTATATTATGTACCAGTACGTAATTGGACAATGCCTTTGTCATTGGACATGACATTGGCACAATCATCCAATTGGCCGGGACACTAGTAAGTTAATCCAAACCTCATGTTTATGTAATCCAAGCTGTTGACTGGTGGGTACTTGTTGCTGCCATCAGTGCATTCAATGAGGGCATCATAGTCTGGGTGGCCAAAGAATGCGATGGACTGGCGAGACTTGACACTGGCATCAGACGTCGTGTCCAGGAGCACACGGTGTTTCTAGAGGGGAAGAAGGGTAGGTGGTCAGTGACTGGCTTTGCATCATGGACGGTAAACTCAAACTGAGCACAAAAGTGAGTTCAAATAAAAATTGTGACGTTGGAAGAAATACTGACGATGCAGAAAGCACTGCCAAAATGAATGAATTGGATACGTCAACTTCAGCTACATTTGTGGTGATTGCTCATCTCAAATTTGGGTTTGCATTTACTTTTGCGCCAAGTGCGACGCAGCATTTACTGTGAAGATTTACGCCATGTCATTAACTTGCAGAAATCAGAATTTTAAAAAAATCCAATTGGACAATCCCAATCTTTAGATTAACAATGACATCTTTTGTTATGAGCATGCCAACACTATGAGTATGTGGCATTTTGGACCTTATTGTTTCGGAATACATGTACATAGTACATGATGAAGATACCTCAGAGCTATGTGCTGGTACATGAAACTATTCCAATGAGTTGGAATTTTTCTCACGGAAACAGCAAGACCCAGATGAGGTATACTCACTGTATCCAGAGTAACCTGTAAAATGGTCCGGCTCCAAACGAGAAACGATATTTAATAGAGAAGTTGTGCAATAGTGCACGGCAAAACACTGATGTTTAGGCACAGAGAAACCTTTTGACAATGGCAGGGAAAAAACCATTGCCCTGGATTCTGAAAACAACGAAAGCCTTGACTGACCACAGCCAGGTACTTGTCAGCGGTCCATCTCTGCATCAAGTCACCGATATTCACCAGAATACCATCCTCCACCAGCTGTGCTTTCATGTAGTTGCCTTTGCGAGTCCGTACCTAATCATAACAAACCCGAATGTACTTTCATTTTATCTTTTTAAAGTTATATTAAACACAAGTCATAAAGTTCTTGGGAGTTGGGCCTTCCCAAAACTGTGAACAATTCTGAATTTATGAAATTTGAAGACAATTTTAAACAACTTATTTCAAAGAATCATTCAAATTTCAGATATGGGGAAAATCAGGGCCAATTTTGATTGCTCCCAAAAGTTTGGTAAGCTATGGGTTTGGAAAACCAAGAAAGTATTTTGAGGGAGAAGCCCTCAGCTAACTGAGGTGGGAAACACATCCCCGACTTGGGCGGCAAGTTCACAATGTTTTTTTATACTCCTCAACTACATGTCTGATTTAACATATTTTTTTTTGTAATATATACTAATATTCCAGTTGTATTTTGGCGAGGCAATGTATCTCGCAGTACCTCAATAACCACCTTTTTGTTCTTGAGTTTTGAGGGTGGTCCGTGTACTTTTTGCATATTAAATGTCCTCTTTTTCTGGTGTTTTCTTACAGGAGTGGTTTTGATTAATGGCATGTGAACAAAATGTAATTGAATGATAATTCACACTCATTCAATGCCCTTATTTACAAGTCAGCCATATAAAGCCAGGTTAGCTCTTTCAATTTGGGGAACCTATTAATAAAAATGACAGCGACGAAAAAATTAATTACATATCCAATTTCATTTTATCTGATTTATTACATTTACGTTTAGGTTTTAAGCAACACTGAAAACAAATGGAAGTGAGTTATATATAACAGTTTTGCCCTTACCCAACGTATATTAATAAGCACTGTATGCTCAGTGCTTGTCCAAGAGCTTGCTAAAAAAACCTCACAAGCTTACTCAGGTGGGAATCGAACCCACGACCTCCTGCTTACTAGTGTGGATGTCTTAACCACTCGACCACCGAGCTTGCCGGGGTCGGCTGGCCGGTCCAAGTCAAATGAAGCAGCAGGTACCGCAAACTATTTTCTAAAAAAATACATCTTGAAAATGGAAGTGAGGCGTGGAACCAAACATAGTCTGACACCACCCTATTTGACAGATAACATTGAATGAGATACATTCAGGGATCGTGATCAAAATGGCTTCCTCTAAGGTCAATATCAATCAAGTAACTGCATAATACCTGAAGAACAACCCTTCCCACCTCCAACATCTCTGCCGAGTTACTGACTTGTATTGCTGACTCAGATTTAGGTCAGGCTCGAGGCGCAATGTTTTTCATTTGAGACTCAACTTGACTTGGGAGAAAATGACTTACGACTTGACTTGAAAAAAGTATACTTGTTGACTTAGCAATTTTTGTTTCATAAAAAATTCTTTATGACTCAATTTTCGAAAGCAAAAATGTTTTGTGGTCATTACACTGTTTCATTGCTGGAAGTGTGAGCATGTTATGATGGAGAAAAAACGAGACTGACGTATCATATATGCGGGTCACAACATCACTAACGGGTGTTAGAAAAAGAAGTCGAGTACCATATCAGTCACAGGCTTTCAAAATGACTTGGAACTCTGGACTTGACTTAGGAAAAATTTGACTAGTGACTTGTGCAAACATGACTTGGTTACAACACTGCATCTTTGCATTACCAACCTCCAATCCTGGTGTTTCCTGGAAGAGCAAGGTGATGCCACCGTAGTCGCAATGCTCCCCACAGCGCACCTGCTCTTCCTTGACAGTCACGTCTTGGAGGGCTGGGTAGTACAAGGTGCGCAGCGTGGTGCCGCTGTTCTCAAAGGCCTTGGCGTGGTGCTTCACAAACAACTGGGGGTCCTGGAGAGGGGGGGATAAATGAATGGCAAGGATGACAGAAATTCAACTTGAGCCAAGTTCCAGTGGCGACCATTTCTCAAGTGTGAATCGATTTTCCCTGGTAACCTTCACACAAACTATATCCTGGGTGCTAGGCAAAATTAATGAGCAGTTGATTAATGGTGTCTGACTTAATATTGCCATGATACAAACAATCTTTCTAGAACAAAAAAAACCAAAGCCTTGACTGCATTCAGTTTATGCCAATGTTTACTTGGATGTTAGCTAGGTATTTGCAAGCGTGCCAAAGAATAGCACTATGATCGTCAGGGAAACTGTCACCAAAATGATAGTACCTTATGCAACAGGTGCCCGTTTGGACGTCATCTTCAGCAACTATCAGAGGACTGATTTTGACTTGTGCTGCATTTTGCTGCTGGTATTTGAAGACACGGGAGAATTCCAGTCTATTCTAGAAACCTTCACAAACACCCCAAGAGATCATTTTCCTCTGTTGTCAACGTACACACACCCCACGCCTGACCCAACATAAGACCCCATTTTGAGATTTTGCTCAAGTATGGTTACTTTTTTAGCCACTCTGAAGAGCTTTCTCTTTCACACCAGTTCCACAAGGCATATGACTGCCTTCTTGAAATGTCTTTGAATATACATGTATCTGTGCGAACAAAATCCTCGTTTACCTATCCAAAAAATAAAAAAACCCTTTTGTAATTACTTAAAAGGTTACTGGTGATGAATTTAAGTTTCTTCAAAATGATCTAATAGTTGTGGTGTTTTTTAAATGTTTTGGCGGTTGCAAGACATTATTTCAGTTTGAGGACAGTATTTTTGGGCATTTATAATAAATGTTAAGATGAAGGGGGTCACTGGTCAGTGGCCATCTGACAACTATCCCCCTCCCCAAGTGACGTACTAGTACCTCAAGTTGTAGGCCATGACCCATGACCTCCAGGATTCTGTGATGCAGCACCAGGCAAGGATTCCAGAAGTCCTCCAGAACAGACCTGAAGTTTGGACACTCTGCCTCAGTTGGCCAGTTACTCTGTGAAAAAAAGGTCACCCTAGAATAGTTCATCAACCTATCCTGCAAGAAATGTCTGTGCATAAATGCACCGTATCCTTCCAACCGACCTTATTTACTAGTCCGCAATTATAAAGTGAAAGCAAGGTTAACCTTTCTTTATTTTGTGAACTTAAGAACAAAAGGAAAAATTGATCACAGCTTTATTCAATTACAATGATGAAATGAAAAATTTGTGACTTATTACACAGCTAAATGTTTCCAACAACATCAAAAACAGTCTGGCCCCACCTTATTTGGCAGATTACATTGAATAAGATAGACCTTATTCAGACTATGGGCTATTTGGTTCAGTACTTGACAACTGACATTTCCCACAAGAATTGTGCAAGTATCGTTTACTTAATCAGTTGTGAATGCCTTGCACATTACATTTCAAAATGACTTGTTCTAGTCACTGAAATCATTTGCTGAGTTCCTGTCACAGCTTCCGTAGCAGCCCAACAAAGAACATGTGCCCATGCAAAACTCACACAAGGGCAGAACCAAAGATCGTATAACGCCATAGGCGCAAGATGGATAACTCTGCCCAAAAGGTGTCATTACCATGGGCACCATTTGAGCAAGCAATATGCCTGCGCAATTTACGGTAATGCTTGGGCGCAGGCTCACCAGGTGCACGTGCCTGCTGCGGCGCCTGCACCAGTGCATTAATGTGCATTGAGCAGGCGTATCACTGTGTGTTCACGGTGAAGTTCGCCATCTTGCGCCGCTATGCGGTGCTATACGATCTTTGGGCAGGACCTTAATTATACCCAAGTGAATCAAGAACTCACATGTACACTATGAAAACATTGAGAAACCAAACAACCAAAAGCTACAGAGAACTGAAGCTATTGGCTACATTCCCCTTTGAACCAATATTGAGCATAAAAGTTATGGGGTTGCTTGGAAGCAAATGACGCACATGTGAGATTTACTGGATATGGTCTGGACCTCACTGCAGTCTTATTCTGTCAGAAAATTCACCGCATATCACATTTCATGCTTTTGGGGGGGGTATATTTTCCTATCAAATTTTATGGAGCAAATGTTCTGAGAAGTATTGTCTAACACCATCTGTTTCTAAATTCAGCTTACATTGTACTTGAATGCATTAACCGAGACCATAAAAGCACGCTGTTTTAGTCAGCCTACGGGGAGGCTGCACAAGGTGCCATAAACACTCAAACAAATTCCATATTCCAGCGATGCAATTCCATTTTTATGAGAAGCCATATTCAAAAAAGCAATAAAGCTTGACCCGGCATCAGGTTTTACTGTCTGTGTGAAATCCACACAGCAGTGGGGGCCTGTCATCTGTAATCTCCATATGTCAAAGTTCAACATACATCTCTGAATCTGCATTTTCCCTTATGCCTTATTTGATAACGACTTATCAGACGCGTCATAAAGCATTGTTAATGCTATCAACAAATATGGCAACAGCAGGCAACCAGTCAATGCCTCCGTGCAAGTGCATTTTTGTAACCAGACCTTTTAGAAGGTCTGGAGGTGCAGTTGACGCTCCCTGCAGCAGGTTGCCGGGGTAAATGGAGTCACTTTTTTTGTCTGGTTCATGTACCCCTGGCAGAGCCAGTGCAACTTTCTGGTATGAACCTGATTACATTTTAGATTAAGGACTTCTTATCTACAAGTACATTCAGCCCAAGGGTACATGTAAGTACATTTAAGTTTGGTTCACATTTTCCATGTCTGAACAAAGCAATACAAGTACGCAACTATAAAACTCGTTGTTTTGATATCACCCATTACAGAATCCTGATAAAAAACGCATTTTGGGAGTAAAAATGTTGAAGGTTCCACTTGATTGATACTGTGCTACTGGTAGATTTATTTTACAACCTTTAACTAAAAAATGGCCCTGATAACTACCAACCCATTTTGTATGGTTGGGTCCATCGCATAGGCATATAGCATCCATCCAACCCTCCTTCTTGCGAATTCCTGGCTACACCTGTGTTTCACATGTTCAACTTTCAGGCATCACAGTGGTTTAAGACCCAGACATTCGGTCTGATTTATGTTTTCCAATTTTCAAAAAAAGGTGTTCATTAGAGTCTGAAAAGCAAGTTTTAAGTGTAAAAAACTTAATTTTGAAATTTCGTGTTCTGTTTCTGAGATATAACAGTTTTAATGTATAAGCTAACACGAGTAGAAAATAAAAAAGATTCACATTTTGTTTCAATGTAAAATATCTGCCGAGGCAAATAAAACTTAGTTTGAAAATAAAATATTGCTTTTTTTCATGTTGCCTTAATTTACCCCTTCGAATGCTGCAGAGTGTTATGCGGGTCCATTCTTGGATGATCCGGTAACATGACATTGGAAAAAGTCAACTAAAATAGCACAAAATACATCTGTTCAAAAATATTTACGATAAGACATTTTGAAGAGTACCTTCTAGTACCCATGGTAGAGTGCCATAAATTTGTAACACATCAAGAGAGTAAATATCCCTCGTCAATGTAAAATTGTGGTAAATTCGCGGAAATGTCTCTTACAACTGTAAAAGACGAAATTTCGATCAATGTTTTCACTAGAAATATTGCCGATTGCGCGCAAATGAGCACCCTCTGTTGACATGAATAGTCCGTGAAATTCAGCAACACGTGCCCGAACATTTTTCTCTCCGATCCCACACAATTTGTACGATGTCATTGCTATGAATTTTGAGGTGCCGAAGCCAGTTACATTTTCGACGAAGTAAAATATCTTTAGTTGTGCTTTGTTCGCTTTATTTTGTGGAAATAGTGAATAAATCAAATCATGCCATTTAATTACTTCCTTCAACAAGGAGAAAATGAACTCCAGCAGGTATTCCATTCATTTCATGAACTTGAAGACGTAATTCGAAAACTGCAAACTCAACAATTCGTTTCAGAATTTGACTGGCTTTTAAATTGGGGTACAAAACTTACTTACATAAAATAAATAAGCATCCATAAAAAAATTCGTGTGCAAATCACTTGAACCTTCGTTTGTTCTTTATTTAACCCCAAATCAACAACAAAGATCGGTTTGATATCGCGCGGGTACAGCAGAACAAACAGTGCAAACATTTATGCGAACACAGCCGAAGAGGGCGCTACGCATATGTAGTGACCTCTTTCAGATTTCGCTCCCATTTTTGCCCATTTCGGGTGAATTCTCTGGTAAAATCTTTTCGACCTAGTTTTCTTTATTTGGAGATGATGTACAAACATGCTTGATATACATGTAGTTTTCAGGAATTTGGACCCTTTACTGTCCTGATATCTACTGATGTCTGGGTCAAATATGGTTTTAAACCACTGTGCCATGTTTACTCAATGCTTAAGCACGCGGACAAGCTGGTGTCATAATGAATGCTGCTGTCAACTTACATCTTCTGCCGTCATGGGGTGGTAGTTGAACACTTCTTTGAGGTCACCGTGGGGACGGTCAGGATTAAGCCTGAAAAGAAATTTGCACACAGGACAAGGACTTATTCAAAATCAAGCAGAATGAAAAGGGGACTCCTGAGAAAGAATGGAACAAGATGGAGTTGTTGGAGAACAATGAAGGCAAGAAAGAGAAGTTGTCAGGTCTCCCAGTTCTTACATCTCATGTTGAGTCATTTACACCTAGCCACTGAACCCACTGCTGTAAGTTCAACACCCAATCAAAAGTCATTTGTTACAGGAATACCATTTTTTGTGCCCAATGTTGGCAAATTCCTTTGCAATTTCAAGGAAAGAACATTTTAATTCAACAGTTACGAAGAAAAGTCTGCACCCAAATAACACTTTTGTTTTACGTCCAATTTCTCGCAATCAGATTGTGGTCGATAGGAGCTTCTTTGATGGTGTAAATTTAGGCCAGGGCAGTTTGCACATAATGCTAAAGGTGCGGAAGAAAGTGGTTCAATTGTGGTTGTCGTAAAGTTTGAAAAAAATGACGGTTCGGGGGCCTTAACTGTTTTACAAATTGCTATTTCATCCCCATAAAAATCCTGAAGTCACATCAAGCTTACTTTTCTCGTTCCATGTGCACATATCCATGATTCTCTTTGGGATTGCGAGGGTACTTGTTCTTGATATCAGCGGGAAGATGAAAAAAGTCCTTAGACACCTGCCACATCCGTTCAACCTGTTGATAACAATCACTTGTATCAGTTTTCTCAGATTACAATGTAATTTCATCCTGTCCTTTCAACTGATTTAATGTGGATTTTCTACAGTCTTGAAACCAGTGCCTATCACAACCAGCATTTTCGATTACCTTCCCAACAACTTCTCTTACTTACTCCGCCCTCCTCTGAATGATGCGAAGAAAGTTGAGGTTTATGAAAACGGATGGCATGTAGAGGCAAATTAGCTAAAGTTAAGTAAGTTCTGTGAAACAAAGGCCAGAAGTAAGTGTTTGGATGTCAAACACTCCTTTTGCAAATCCAATTGCTGTATGACCTCTTGACCCAGACAGGACATCTCTGGTATCCAAAAATTGTTCATTACAGCAATTTACGCACACTCATCTGCACCCATGACAAAAACACGGTAAGTGCGAGGGAAGTAATCGAACAAGTTGAATCAGCTGGCAACACTAAAAAGAAAACTGGCATTATTGATAAAGGTGCAGGTACTTGCACAGGAGAGGTGGGTGGGAACACGGGCCTGTCCCGTTTAGATTTTTACAAACCAGCCTACGTGTACAATTGTGACAGCAGTCATCGTCAGTACTGTAGGGTAATTCCCTAGGCACCAAACTGACATGTTGGAGGGGAGTTTCACAGTGTGTCCTGTTCCATCATATGGTGCTGTTTCTTTGTTGGAGGTGTTCCTCTTTCAAAGAGATTTCTTTTGGAATTCGGGCTTTTGCAAAGGACAAAGTAAGGCCAAAAAAAGTCTGCGGCTTCTGGCCAGGAGCTGGCTCCAAGCATAGTACGGTGACGAGGCTTTTTTTTTAACCCTCACTTTTTTTTCTGCGAATGATGTACATATAATGCATGATGTCCATCGCGCATACATGCGCATATGACGCCTGCCGCTACCTACACAAAAACAGACTGGCCCCCTGCATATTTTACTGTTTAAAAGCATTTTCAGCTTGTACGAGTACACAGGACATAAGACCATCTCATTTGTCTGGTTCCTAGATGTAAATGTATAATACATACTTTGCTGACGCGCAGATCTACAGCAACGCAAGCACTGACCAGAATCTGGAGACTTTTTTTTGCCTAAAGCTACAGTATGTGTTGGCATGGTGACAGACTGACACCTTTGAACCCTCTTTCTTGGGTACTAAAATAGAAAACTCACTGAAGTGGGCAAATAAAAAGTTTTCACGCATGAAATACACAATAAAGATAAGCTCTTACTACTTGTTACTATTGCTTGTTTTTCCACATCGCTGCCTTTACATCAATGACCAACATGATCCTTTTTGGTGAAAAAGAGCATTTGAAACCCAAGATGACATTTGCATATAACTGCCCTGTACCTACATGACAGTGTAATATTCACAAATTTCACCCAAACTTACACACTTTTCCGAAGTCAGGCATTACTGTAATGCTCACAAATTGTTTTCAATGGGCACAGACCTTCTCTAGTGGGAAATCGGCATTGACGACATAGAAGAACCCAATGGACGTCAAGGCCTGATGAACACTGTCCACCAACTTCTGGAAAGCATCGCTGCTTTGGTCTGGTTTGTCCAGGGATAACCTGTAAGCACTGAAGTCAACGACAGGAATGCTCTCTGCAGCATCGCCCATCTTCCATCTACATTGAAATCTACTAGAAAAAAAAACCCACTTCAAAACAGCTTCAACTTTGGGGTAATTCAAGAAAATTGTTGAATTCACATACATGTACATGTTCCAGTACTTGTAAGATTACAATATTTAATTGAATTATCAAATTGTCATTTTGTTACAGCTTCTACTACCCATATGAGCATGCGTACAATCTCGTTAAGTCTAGTATGCAAAAAAGTAAATTGATATCACGGATGAGATACATGTACATGTACATGTATTTCCAATGAGAGTTCTGCGGCAGTATAATTAATTTTTTTTTTATTGAGGGGAAATAATATCCAAATACCAGTAACAGATGTTCAGACTAATTTTTTACCTATTAGAAATTCAAAGAATTTGTCAGAATAATTACAGTTTCTCTCTCGTTACATGTTCTAAAAATTCAGGTATCCTATTTGAATGGTAAACAACCTCTGTACATTTTTCTCTAAATTTGCACGTTTTCTGAACATTTTTTAAGCCACTTCATCTTTTGAGGCAGTGCTATCCACCCCGAGTTGAAGTGCACCCAATAGCAGCAAAAGAAAAATGGTTGTAAATTGTCCAGGCGGGTTCTTGCACACGTCCTGCGTGTACGTAAAGACAACGCATTAAGAAATAAATTTGCGAGCTCCTTGTCAAATGCGCCATTGATCTCCATTATAAACGTGCACTTTTTTGCAGTGAGTACCCCAAAAACATGCCCCCTTTTGTTGCGCTCGGAGCAGATACATGTATGTAAATACGATATAACTTATTTTCTAGCTAATTGCTCAAGGTTATAGCCCCAGTTGATGAACTTCATATTCAGAATTTGGCAAAATTGAAACCCCGATGAAAAGTAAGGCAAAAAAAAAAAAAAAAAAATGGTTCAGTTATGTTTGCTCATCATTCCCCTCACAGAGTTAAGCTTTGCCTACGCACAGGCATTTGGAATTCATGCATGGACTTATGGAACATACACCGTAGGGGCCTACATTGTACATGAACCCTGTACTAACATTCATGTAAGATTGAGAGAATTTCATATTATGTTCTCTAAATGCAATGGCATACATACATTGTACAGGTACATGTATACTGTACCAAGTAGCCTGTTTGCTGTTATTCATTTAAATTAATAGCATGCACCTGCAATGTGTAATACACAAAGAGTTCGAAATGCTCACACTGAGCAAAATTAACTGCTCATTTACATGTACTTATTTTGCATTTACTGTGGGTTTACAGCATGTCAGCTTTGTTGATGCACTGTTTTATGGAACACAGATGCAAACATGTACCAGGTAATAGTCACAAAAAAGATTACATGTTTTTCTGTAATACGTGCATGCATAAACACACATAACCAGCAGGCGTCACTCTACAGTGAGTTAGCACTCTAGTAACAACAGTTCCTTCACAGTTTATGATCGATGAAATTAATTGAAAATTATCAGGTAATTATCAGAAACCAGAGTCAACTCCCTCACAATTCAAGCAGAATAATTCTGCCAACATTTTAGTAAAGTTACAATCTTTAACAATACATGTTAAGGTGCTGATAAAACAGCACGTTTGGAAATAAAAAGCTCACTGAGGCATCTCCCAGCTAGAAAAGAAATTAAGACTGCCTTATTAGTACCTGTATATTCAACGAGTAGAGTTGGCAGGCTTCTTAATATAAAATCACTTCTAGCATGACACCTGTAGTCTGCAGAGAAAAAATAAAAAAGTAAATGAGGTGAGCATTAGGCAATGGAAGAAAAGTAAAATCCCTTTGAACTTTCAGAGTATTCAATGTACATGTGCATGTATATGTACACATGTACATGTTTAATGTACAGTACACAGTAGGCCCACTGTACAGCCAATTTTGAGGGATTTAGGAAAATAGCTCCTGGTCACTCAGGCATGAAAATCTGTTCATGAACACAAGTTTAATATCAGCATGATACTCTAATCAACCCATGTAGGAGAAAAGATTTTAGAAAAATATTCACATTTTCATTTTACAGATAATTTTTTGACAGTATTCTTTTTGATAAACTCTGTAGTATGACGATACCGTCCAAAATCGAAAAAGAGGAATACGACTGGTATTACGATCCACTTAGTTGAGAGTAACGTTACATCGTGCATGTCATGTAATGTAGCCTAAGCCTAGGGCGCACGGGCCGATTAATAGGATAACACGCAACAATGATCAATCTAGCTCGGCCTTTTTAGATGCCCTAACATAGATTACAACAAATACAAAATAACAGATCTGACAGCTCTTTACTAAATTACTGTCGTCACGAAAATGGGTTGGAGCCTACCTTCGTGAGCCAGATGCAGAACCTGTGCTCATTTTGACGAGCGCCCTCGAGCGGGTAGAAAAACAAGACGGGTTTGTCCACTGTCCTGTTTCGACAGGCTTAATTTTGGGTCGAAATAATCATTGGTAATGAAAATTCAAATCAATATCATGGATAACTGACCCCAAAATAATATTTCCAATTGCCCAAAAGTTGATTTGCAAGATTTTAAGATTTAAAAAAAGAAAAGAAAAAATTAATCTTTTCAAATAGCCCGGATTCGATCTGACAACCTCACACTTCCGGGTGAGGAACATTAACCAAAGGACTTCCAAGAACTTGCTATATATTTTCGGAAGATAAAAAGTTCAATTTGAATATTCTTCGGATTAATTTGGGGGCCAAAGAACCATTAGTAATTAAAATAAGGATAAATATCATTGATAATTGGACCCAAAAAAGTATTTCCACTCGTCCAAAAGTTCATTTGCAAAATTTTAATCTTTAATTTTGAATCTTTAAAAAGGGCGGATTCAATCGCACAACTTCACACTTCCGGGTAAGGAACGTTAACTATAGGACCGCCAAGAACTTGCTACTTTCGGAAGATAAAAAGCTCAATTGGAATATCCATTGGATTATATTTGGAGCGAAATAATCATTGGTAATGAAAATTAGCATAAATATCATTGGTAATTGACCCCAAAATAATATTTCCAATTGTCCAAAAGTTGATTTGCAAGATTTTAAGATTTTGAAAAAAAAAATGGAATCTTTTCAAAGCCTGGATTTGGAGAAAAATAAAAATGGAATCTTTTGCAAGCCCTGTTTCGATCTCACAACCTCTCGCTTCCTGGTAGGTCAGGAACATTAACCACAGGACCGCCAAGAACTTGTTATTTTCAGAAGATAAAAAGTTAATTTTGACTATTCTCCTGATTAATTTTTGGACAAAATAATCATTGGTAATGAAAATTAGGATGAATATCATTGATAATTGATCCCAAAATAATATTTCCATTTGTCCAATAGTTGATTTGCAAGATTTTAAAGATTTTGGGGAAACAAATGCCATAGTCTTTGCAGGGCCGGGATTCGATCTCACAACCTCTCGCTTCCGGTTCAGGCATTAAGCACGTTGGATTTGCTCCTTGCTGTCAGAAAATTAATCATTTGACACCAGTTTTAATTGCTAAAATTCTGACTAACTGACACATTTAAAACATAAATTACTGGAACAATAAGTTAGAGTGAGATCATTATTCCATAGTCTTCTTGGTTGCAATTCAAAGGGAAAAAGTATAGTTAAAGAGAAAAAATGTATGTCCTACTAACAGGTGTATAGAGAGCACACAATTGATTTAGCATGAGAAATGAGCCTGTTACTGGCATTGAAGAATGAAGTCGTTATCTGACATAGCATACTAAAAAAAACAAGAAACGTGATCAAGTAAAAATGGAGTTTATTTAAATGCAGATTAGATTAATATAGGCCTAAGTGCCTAATTTGGAACCGTGAAGGTTTCCATAAAACGGGACTTTTGATAAGAAGGCAACTTTGTAATGCTAACATAGCCCCCCAAAAAGATAAACCCAGTATTGAACAAATAAATTTAAAAGGATAAAGGAAGTTTGTCAAAAGTACTACACTGAAAAAACCTTTTTTACAGGAATTTCCTTGCAGTTGGGGCGCCAGTACTATTCCCAAAAACTAGGTACTGTAAAATTAAACCCTCACCATTAAATTACAGTTACCAAATAACAGCCCCACTGTTGTAATTTTACGAATGTGGCTAACTAAGCATACAGTAAATTTACATCCATTCATTCCACATTTACTGAGAAGTTGTTTCCTGCTTTGGAAATATAATTTGCTGTAGGTTTACCTTTTTTTGGAAAATGATTAAGATCTGTATCTTTCATAGTTTAGGCAACAATCAGTGCCAAGCTTTACCAGTACAGATTCCATTCATTTTTTATATTTTTCATCTTATCCTCAAGCCTGACGACCCCAGGGTGGACTTTTTCCTGCCACCTTTCACCTCAGTCGACAGGTTTAGGCCCAAGAAACATCTGCAATAAAGTACAACTACAACATTGGAATAATTGACAATAGGCTTGTGACTGCACTATTTAGTGTGGCTCAGAACACTTATGCTGACAAATATCGAATGACCATTGGAAAAGTACTCCACCACTGATGGTCTATAGTTTCTCTGTGTATGGGAAATGGGACTTTTTTATGTGAAACATGTCTTTTGACAACCCAAGGCACAAGGTGGTCCTTTGATAAATCCTTTGACATTGCCTTATTGGTGCTCTGATACTGTCACACTTGGTATGACAAATATATGTACTTGTAGGTCCTGCCTTGATTTCAATATGACTGTAGCAAAGATGGGATGATAACGGATAAAGGCATCAATGTTGAGCCAACACTGAGACCGTGAGTAAAGAAAAACAAGAAATTTAAACATACTTGAAGCTTAGTGCCAACTTTATTTGTACCATCATAAGCTAGTTGAACCACAAGGCCCATGGGGAGGAAAGCAGGGCTGGACCGGATGGGTCATGAGGCAGCCCATCGGCCTTATCAGGAAACGTCAGTGTTCATTTATTTGACTAACCCTACCCTCAAATCCAAATGAACCAAACATACTCATGCACGCTGTATTAATATTCAAAGACTAGTAGCTAATACCTAATAAGGCAAGGAAACTTGAAAAATGGAATGTCCAGCAAATGTATAAAATCCATATGAGCTCTGGCAATTGGGCAGAGAGCCGCACATCGAGCCAGCAGAATAAACCACATCAACTACAGTACAACTTTGTCCCAAGTCATCCTCTTGTGTTGATCCATATAACCTGTCGGGTTATCTTCAAAAAAATAGAATTTTAGAAAACAAAGACAACTTTTAAAGTATTTTGAAGTTGTTTGAAGCATAAAAAACATGGACAATGGCTGCATGCAATTAAAGCCAGCTACCGCGCATTAGCAATGGTTGTAGCACATGCTCAGCTCACTCTGAGAGGGCGGAGATTTTTACCAAGGCAGATAATGGTACAAACCACCAAGCACATGTTTGTATTTGCCTTAAATGTGCACTGCGTTTATTGCACTTTTCATAATGATGAAACTTATAAAGTAAGGGTTTGCAAGGTGGACATGGGAGTTTTGCAGTAGTACCAAGTGGGTTCTATGTTGTGTGGTTATGGAGATTATGACACAAACTAGCCCATCAACTTCAGTTGGGCAAGTTGGCAAAAAAAGATCACTGTTTTCAAACCATGGGGGTTAAAGCAGCTGTAGCACATGTACATGTACTTTTCAGAACCACACAATGCGCATGATCTCGGTTCTCAATTCTCTCTTTCATATATTATCCTGGGTGTCAACTGTTTAATTCCTTTCTTGGCTTTTCCTTTACTTTGTGTATGTATGTGTCTTTCTTTTTGAGTGCTCTTTTTTTTATAGTACATTTTTTTAGTTTGTCCCTGTACTTTTTTATCACTGAGTTTGAGTTTTTACTATTCTGAAACAAAAGATAAAAGAAACAAAGCAATCAAAGAATGTCCAATACTTGCAGTATAGTCAAAATGAACAGCACAAAAGGCAGGCACCTTTGTGTGGGTCTTTAAGTTAGCTTTTGCTCAGACTAAATTTGCATATACCATGGAATGTGCATGGATATGCTAAAACTTACTCTCTCAAACTACCGGTTTTAGTATATTGCAAGCATTGACAAACTTCACAACATCACAATAAAGAATTTTACTGGAAACTTTAGGCTTCTGCATGCTCAGCTGTGACATGTGCTCACAAAGGTTTGGCTGATGCATGTATGGCTATGTTTCAATACAGCTCCAATCATAGGCTAGTCTGATTTTGCCATCCACATGAGGTCCTGTGATACCTTTCATACATATAGGTACACCGAGTAAACTGCTTGTAGCTTTACATTCTAATTTTGCAGGCTCATGAAAACATCTTTCATCACCTTAAATTACGAAAAATAAACAAACAAATATGACACGAACATTATGCTCGCTTTAAGTAAAAATGACACAATGTAAATGAGCATTATTTAGAGAGGGCGAACCCATATAAAACTGTTTAAGACTTAAAAATAAACATCTTTTATTTTACTGTCAAGATTGGTGAATAGAAGTGTGTAACCTGCGCTAAAATATTGTAATTTTATATTGTAAAATTATAACCTTCAGTTTTCACAACAATTAAAAACAAATATAATAGAGGAAAAAGTAAAAAATGAGATATAAATATGTATAGTCCAAACTTCACTATTTCAAATAAAAAATTCATTTGCATAACGTTAATTAGAAATTTTGGGGCCCAAGTCACTTTTCCAAGTCATTGCCTGAAAGTTGAACTAAAATAGTTTCACAATGAAGAATGAAGATCTTACATGTAACTATGCTGCAGAGTCAAAAACAGATACCTAAATTGTAGGTAGCACTAAGATGCGCAAATTTTTGCAAACAGCATGGTCTAAAAATGCTATGCATACATGTAAAGCCATGGAGAGGAAAAACTGAACAGGAATGAATACTGAGCGTGGAATTAGTCAAGTGTGAAGATCAATTTAGCAGATTTGAAATATTTATTATTTTGTACTAATTTTATTAAGTGTAAACTGTATGTACATGTATGTGGAGTTTATTTTTGGCTTTATATGCGACAAGCTTTCAAGAGAATATTTATTACATGTAAATGATGTTACCAACTATTATGAACTTTTATGTGTAATCTTTACCTGCAGCATTGCATATCGGGTAATTCGACAGGAAAACACACAGTTGATTGCAAAGATAAACTTGAAGAGTTACAAATGAAAATACCAGAGATCAAACATATTACAGAAAGTGGTCAATAGAATTTGTATTCCCATCACCAGTTCACAGAGTGTTGTAACACTACGCAAGGTACAAATGTTAAATTAAACTAGAGGTCTTTGTCTGTTTGAGAGCAGTCTGCATCCTGTTTACTTTGCACATTGTGAGTCTGTTTGGGTTTAACTGTGTTTTAGTTTATTTTTTGCCTGAGATAAAATGCATTATTCACCACACA